ATGAAGGAGGCCCCACCACCTCTGCTCTACAGGAACCAGACACACATTACAGTTGTTGAGCCTCTTTTGTTGTTGTTTTTGCAACCTCTTTGTAGTCATTACACATCTTTCTGTGATTTTACGTTGTTGTTTTTTTTTGTAATTTTGTGTCCATTTATGGTCATTTTGTGGCTTTGTGGGTTTTTTTGTGTCAGTGGTTATTTTTGCCCCTTTTGTTTTGCTTCTCTTTGTAGTTATTTTGTGTCTCTGTGATCATTTTGTGCCTCTGTGGTCATTTTGCATCTCTTTGTGGTCATTACGCATCTCTTTGTGGTCATTTTGCATCTCTGTGGTCATTACGCATCTCTTTGTGGTCATTTTGCATCTCTGTGGTCATTACGCATCTCTTTGTGGTCATTTTGCATCTCTTTGTGGTCATTTTGTGTCTCTGTGCATCTCTTTGTGGTCATTTTGTGTGTATTTGCAGTCACTTTGTGTCTCTTTGTGGTCATTTTGCATCTCCTTGTGGTCATTACACGTCTCTTTGTGGTCATTTTGCATCTCTTTGTGGTCATTTTGTGTGTCTTTGCAGTCACTTTGTGGTTGTTTAGGTGTCTCTTTCTAGTTGCTTTGCATCTTTGTGGTCATTTTGTGTCTCTAACATTTTTTGTGTCTGTAGTTTTGCATCCCTTGTAGTTGTTTGGTGTCTCGTTCTAGTTGCTTTGCATCTTTGTGGTCATTTTGCATCTCTTTGGGGTCATTTTGTGTCTCTTTGAATCTCTTTGTAGCTGTTTAGGTGTCTCTTTCAAGTTGCTTTGCATCTTTGTGGCCATTTTGCGTCTCTTTAACATTTTTTGTGTCTGTAGTTTTGCAGCCCTTGTAGTTGTTTGGTGTCTTGTTCTAGTTGCTTTGCATCTTTGTGGTCATTTTGTGTCTCTTTGCAGTCACTGAATATCTCTTTTAATCTTGTTTTATGTTTCTTTGTGGTTGTTTTTCCCCTATTCATAGTTGTGTGAGTCACTTTTATGTTTATTTGTAGCTTTTTTGCATCTCTTAGCAGTCATTTTGTGTCATTGTGGTCTTTTGAAGTCTCTTTGTATTCTTTTTAAATCTTGTTTTGTGTTTCTTTGTGGTTGTTTTTCCTCTTTTCATAGATGTTTCTTATGTCTCCTTGCCGTTGTTTTGTATGTCTTTGCAGTCATTTTGCGTCTCTTTGGGGTCTTTTTGAGTCTCTTTGAATTTGTTTCATATTTTTTGTGGGCATTTTGAGTTTCTCCCTGGTTAGCATGTGTTAATTTTAGTGACATTTTGCAGGTGAAGGCCGAGAGCTGGGGAATCTGTTTCTTTTGGGCCCCTGGGCCTATGTCAAATAAGCCTGTTTATTATATCCACCCCTGTTGTTAGGCCAGTAAAGCAAGAAAGTCCCAAAGAATATTTCTGTGCCAGCACAGAACACATTAAAACTACGTAAATAGAGTTGCACAGAAAAAGTATTGTATTTTGCCACAGTTCTCACTCACATGGATACTGGATGGGCAAAATAATCAGAGGGCCCTTAATTGAGGCTTTAATTTTTTATACTATCCAATTCAGTAAGTTCTTAAATTCTGTACCACTTATCCTAATGCACACTCAAACTGGTGAACAAAAAAAACATTGTCTCCAAGTTACATTTTTAAAACTTTAGCTACTGGTCATGTCCTCAGTATTGTTTCTGGGAATTTATATTTTATCAATCTGAGGAGAAGTTAACACATACAAGTTGAACATGTTTTTTTAAGTCTGCTTCTGGTATTCTTCAGAATCAGGATGTTTAAATCATCAACGTGTCTCTTAGAACCCATCCCAACTAGGCTACTTACGAAGGTCTTACCTTTAGTTAACACTCATATATTAGATATGATCAATATATCCTTATTAACAGGCTATGTACCACAGTATTTTAAGGTAGCTGTAATTAAACCTCTACTAAAAAAGCCCACCCTGGATCCAGAGGTGTTAGCCAACTATAGACCAATATCTAATCTTCCCTTTATGTCAAAGATCCTTGAGAAAGTAGTCGCAGACCAGCTGTGTGATTTTCTCCATGATAATAATTTATTTGAGGAATTTCAGTCAGGATTT